CTTGCCAGGCAAGCGCTTGTTCTACTGAGCTATCTCTCTGGCCTGACTTAAATCTTTAGTGGTTTTCTAAATTTCTTTCTGTTATTTATTTTTACAGGGATGGAGATATTTAAGCCAGAGCCTCACACAGGCTAGGGAAGAGGTCTACCACTGAGATACAGCTTCAGCTCTTCTGTTATTTCAAATCCAATCTTATGGAATAAGAGAAAATAATTTGTATGATCTCAGTTCTTTTAAATCTGAGTTTCTATTCCTAGTACTGCCTACACAAAAAATTAGATGTTTTAATTATATAAATTATATATAATTATATATAAATTATATGCAAATTGTGCACATTTAGCAGGCAGGTGTGTTGGTGCACACCTGTAATAGCCCCACTCTGGAAGGCTGAGTCAGAAGAATTGAAAGTTTGAGCCCAGCATGGACAACTTACCAAGATCCTGTCTTTAAAAAGGGCTGTGGATGCAATAGTCCTTCAAAAAGAACTTGGGTTCAGTTTGGAGTACAGTGCTAATTTTTTTTTTCTGTATTTTAGGGAAGAGTCTAGAGGGTGTTCAGGGTCTCACTACTAGATTGGACTTGTAGTGATTCTCCTGCTTACAGCCTCCCAAGTGCTGGGATTACAGGTATGCGCCATCACACCCAGTCTCAATCGCCATCTCAGTGTGCCCGGGGATCAAACCCCCAGCCCCTGCACCTGTTTGCAGACACTTTAATCCACTGAGCTATTTGGCCAGCCCCTTGAGTACAGTGCTATGTATGTACAATTATATAAGAAGTGAATTTTAATTATAAAGATATCATTTTAAAATTAAAATGATAAAAGATATACTATGCAGTAATTAGTAGTTAAACTAATACCAGACCAACTAGATTCCAGGGACTATCCAGACAAGTATGAAGTCATTGCAAGTGGCAGTTCTGGACTGGGGATGGAGCTCAGCAGAACAAATCCCTGCCAGGCAAGCCAAGGTCCTGAGTTTGATTCCCAGCACCCCCACCCCAAAAAGTGTCAACTGATCAAACAAATTATATAATCTTGAGAGTGTGTGCACCTAGTAAAGCCTCAAGATCCAAAGATAAGACATAACTGAAAGGAAAACTAACCAACTTCACATTGAGAATCGAGGCTAGGGCTAGGGAGATAGCTCAGTGGAGTAAGTGCTTGCCTGGCAAACACAAGGTCCTGAATTTGATCCCTGGTACCACAAAAAAAAAAAACAAAACAAAAACACTACACATTGAGAATTGGAGATATGAACATTTCT